CTGGTGCAGAAAGACTTTGGAACCGCGGAAAACGCAGCCGCACTGACCCGCCCCGACAGTCCGTAATGATGAGGAGTATACATCATTCCAAGGATCGGGCAGTTGCGCCGCGACCGCGCGCGCCTTTTTCACGCGTTGTGTACGCTGCCAATAATGCTGTCGATTCGGTCTTACATTGTTGGATTGACCTGCGTAGTGTGAAAACGAACAGATTCGAGTAGAATTTTATTATTAATATCGATAACCTAAAACCCAGTGAATCATATGGACTATGTATAAAAAACCATAGGGTTTGGAACAAATGTCAAAGAATACAACAATTCGACTTCATTTTCGAATGAAGTGATGAAGATGAAATTATAATAAAAATAAAGAAGTAAAAAAAAGGGTTGTGAGAGGAACTTTATGTTTTCTTTTCATTTTTTTTTCGTTAGATTGTAAAGCAGTTCCAACGTTTTACGTTTCAAAGTCAAACAACATCAAACTTCGTTGCAGGGAACGCTCATCATTAAACTCAATAATGAAAAATCAAAAACAAAAAAAAACTGAGAAAAAAACCACATAACTGATTCATACAAAACAGATATAGGTGTGGAACAAGTGGTGGTACGGTTGTATGTCGATGACGTTTCGACTCTATACGTATCGCACTCAAACAATCAAACTAGACTTTAAATATAACTCGGATTTCGAAGGAGGACGGGGAGATGTATGACAGAATGAGAGAGAGCGCGCGCGTTCATAGGGGCGCTATAGACGTAGGGGGGGGGGTCTGTCGATGCATTTGAATATTTGCAAGAATGTATCGGATCTCCCTTACCCGCTGCGGAAACGGTTAGCGCGGATGCACTCGATGACATAGAATGAACGTAAAACAGACTAAGAATGACACTGTACGAAATGAAATATGAAGAAAAATATACGAGAAAGAGAAGAAAGTAGAGAAAGAAATAATAAAACACAAATATTAAATTTCAAAAAAAATAATCAAAATAAGAACTTAGCAAGCCGTCACAGACAGCAAAGCCACGGACGTAGGCCAAGCCCCACGGCGCCCGACTAGAAAACCCGTGCGAGACGAGCACCGACCGAACGAGATCATCCATCAAAGCGTGAAACGAGGCTCCGCGGCAAGAGAGAGAAGTGGAGTAGTAAAGAATTTGAGGAGGGTTCTGAGAAGGTTCGCGGTGGTGTTGGTGTTGGTGGTGTGATGATGATGATGATGGTGGTGGTGATGGTGAAATTGGGAGCGCGTCAGCAATTTTCATATAGATTTAAGAATGATGAGTATAAGCTGATAGCGTTTTTATACATTGGCTACACCAAGCGAAAAATCACCGTTGAGGATCACAGTGGACGGCGGAACGACGGGGTATGGTGGGGGGTGGTGGTTGTGGTGGTGTTGGTGTTGGCGATTGAGTATGGTGGTGGTGACTGATTGGCTGATGATGGCTGTATGACCATAGTGCAACCGGCACCGACCGAACGAACAGTTCCGGTCTAGTAACGAGGTGGCAATGGCCCGCTGACTGAAATAAAACAACGGAAAAACTTAGTCCTAAAGGAAGCGTTACGACAATCAACATCACTGCAAGGCTTTCATGTGCATACGCAACTGACTAGCGATTATAGACACAGTTATCTCTGTATCATATTATATTTGAGAATTTTGACAGCAGTATACTACCAAATACGCAAATGCGGTTGCGGGGAAGCACAATCTTTATATCGATATCCAGTGGAAAAAGTTGAGGATACCTTAACACAGGCAGGAGCCATATTTTATCAAGGAGAGAATACTGGTAAGTTTACCCTCTTTAGGCAGCTTTCAGACTTCGCGATAACGCGCGTCGACGCGCTGTAGCGCGCCGTGACGCATGTCGACGCGCTACAACAACAGCGCTCCAATCCTGCAGCGCAGCCTAATCGATCGGTGACCAGTGCCGATCGATACCAGACTGCTTGGTTGAGCAGCGTCCCATATTCTTTCAATACATGAGCAGGCGGCGGCGGTTGATTTCCGTCTACATCTGCTTTCGCGTCTATAGCCTTGGAGGTTGGGCGTTACAGTGCGTTGAAGCGTGTCGGCGCGCATCGTCGCCAAGTCTCAATCCTTGCGCATTATGCACCCCTTCGATGACGAGAATGGTATATTTGGCTTCAATGAGACACTTTCTATTGTGGATTTTGCTCTGATAAGAGTCGCTAACGAAACCCTAGCCGCTGAGCAGTGTCGTTCTCATGCTCTAAACCGCTCTCCAAGACTACCTGAACTAGCTTGGTGCTTGTATTTTTGTAGACTAATTTACAAGTGGACAATTTCAGCACGAAGACAAAAGAAGTTCGAATGTTCCGGGAATGATGGAGGAGCCTGGTTGACGGACTTGCTTGGAAGCTGGAAATGCCTTGTCCGGTTGGTCAAGGTTGACCAAATGGCCTTACTAGACCTCAAGAAGGGCTGTGAAGCGTAGCCTGTGACGGAGTTTTTCGTAGCGATATGTGACAGTCAGCTAATGTTATCCTTACTGCTTCGCGTTGTGATGCACTCCACGAGACCGCTACGTATCCTAATTTAATAATTTCAAATGCAGTCATAGGAGCTGATAAATATTCAGTACGGAGTGCTGAAGGGTTAAAGCTCATCAGAGAATGGGCCATGCCCTCGACTACCATAGGAAATCGCAGTGATGTTCCAATCCATATATGGTCAGATACAATAAATTCAAGGATTTGATCCAGATCTCTTAAGTACATACAGGCCGTTTCCTGAGTGGGACATACCGGCTCCCTCTGGCTCCCCACTCTAATCCTTTGATATGGAGTTACAGGCGAGTGCCCTATCTTCATACACCACTTACGCTGAAAGTTCACTATCTAGTACAGTGACAAAGTCATCATAGTTCCCCTTGGCTAATGACAAAAACGATCGGAAAAGCGCGTCGCTCTTACTAAATGAGAAAAGGAGTTTCCTTTATAAAATTTCAGGACGCGCGACTCCGGGCGCGCAGGCAGCCGCGAGAGCGAACCCAATTTCGGCAATGGGACGTACGCCTCCTACTCTGGCGCATATTCGATTACAAGGGCAATCCCTCGATGGAAAGTTCATGAGGGTCAATCTTCCTCTAGGGAGACTCTAGCTCATTCCATCGCAGTGGGACCAATTATTGTACGGAACGAGTTCGTCTTTTGCGGCAAAGTTCCTACAAAGAAGAAACTCTCCATACACATTGATGGATTTCACAAAATCAGAGGTAATTATGCGGTAGATAGGCGCGCGGTACTACTATGACACAGCTTGTCCTGCATGCTCTGTCTGACTCGTTTTCCAAGCCGTCAAGGGTAGTAATAACGCAGCCAGTTTTCTGTACAATCGATCTCTCGGGGCAAATCCAGATAAAAGTAACAAGAGAATCGTAAATACGTACCGCGCGCTGGTCAGGCGCATGGGAATAACAACGGCCGCTCCCGGCGACGAGTTTCCGACCGCCAGGCCCTTCGACTTTGCCCAGTCAAAAGATGGCACTATTCGACATCGCCTGTTATAGAGTCCTGTCATACGAGTCTGCTTCAACCGACAAAATGATGCGCGTCGAAATGTTGCCGCGCGGCCGCACAGTGCACCGCGCACGGCGACGCGACAAATCACGATTCTCTTGTCCGTCTCCCCAAAATTACTATTCCGATGAGAAAGCGCGCATCAGCAGAAATTACGTGGTGTGATGGCGCCGCCCTGTACCCCCTCCACCTCACATGGCGAGTCTTGACGTCACCAATTTTCCAGGTAGCCTCATAGAAAGAGATCCCAAGATTTAAGCTTTTGAATTTTCTGGGGAAATTTTCACCTCACGCGAGGCCAGGTTCATGCACTTCCTTTCTGAAGTCTTTCTGGGTGAGCTGTACTGAATCTGGGTGCTGGGTACTGAATCCACAACAAACTCCTACGCTCTCATGGTGGTAATGAGTGGGCCTAGGTGACAGCTCGCGTTCTCTCCACATGAGGGAGTACCAGAATGATACGCGGAAAGAAGCTGCACCAAATTCTGATGAACCTACCACTTCACCTGTCACTGCTGTAAAATTCTCAAAAATGATGATTCCAGAGAAACAGCTTTTTATGCAGTTCTGATGTGTCTTTACGTAGCTCAGGCTAGGAGAGCCAGAAAAAAGTTCGGAATTCATTCTTCAACTGCAGATAAAGCTCTACTATATTCCCCCTAATTTTCTCTAAGGCTCACTTCAAGCGCGTTGTGCAATCCAAAGGTAATTCGAGAGATGCGTTGCGGTTGTGCGACGCGGTTCATCCATGGCTGCTGGCGGTTACGTGACAACTAAAACTTTCGGTGGGGTCCTGCTGCGAAAAGCCAGAGCGCAGAGAAATAAAGGACTGCGCTGCCAAGGCATGAAGAGCCACAAGAAACATGTCGCGGGGCTGAGATGAGTTTTTCGAAAGAGAGGACACCAGGGTAGGCGAGCCACTTATTAAGTGCAAAATTTTGCGATGTGAAAGGTCAGGGTGGCCGCAAGACACCACGCGGACGGGAGAGCGCAGAGAAAAACAGAAGGTTGACGCCATTAAAGGGATCGAGTTCTAGCTGTCTGCAGACCGCTGACCCATTGTATAGTGGGCAAAATTTTTCCTCAATACGTCCGCCCCCCTTCCTGAATCCGTCCAGCGAGTGTTCTCTCTGATTAACTGTCAGATGAGGTGAAGTGGCGTAATTTTTCGCCAACTTAAAGCGGCGAGGGGGGGGGAAGTAGCGCGCTTGAACCGGGCAAGAGCAGTCAAAAAAGAATTTGCCCAACAAATGCGACCCTCATGCCATGGGGAATCCTCACGAAAAAGTCCCCTTCAGTGAAATAACATGAACCACGTTGCACAATTACAATGCGCCTTTCTCCTTCCATTGAAATACGCAGTACAATTGGATTGAAGCATATACTAGTATGAACAACAACGGTGTGTATTTTGTGCGTAACAGAAGTGATTGAGATGAGTTTTGTCAAGCTGCACACTTACATGACACGGCGGGTACATAGCCCTGAAGACCCGGTAGAACGTAGGGATTGAACTGCTGAGCTGGTTGTGGATTGGCACTGTACACAACAGCTCCGTTCTTGTCAACGGCAGGGCGTTTGCAAGGGACACCGGCCTAAACGTAGACCACCTTAGAGAGTCATGACCATAAACACGTGCACACTGGAGCTCATGCCACAACACGCCACTGCGTTAGGGTACAACTAAACCAAATAGAAAGCACGCCACGTATGAAAAAAAATCTATCGTAATAGCATTTTTCTTTCGAAAAAAAGAAAGGCCAAAATGTCAAAGAAAATTGAAATAAAATTAAAATAAAAGTAAACTAATAAGACGTAGCGGCTAAAAAGAAGGAAAGAATACCGCAGCGGAAACGGCAGCAGCCAGGTTGAGGAAGTGCGCCTGCTGCTGATCGGCGGCTAGCGATTCTTCATCCAACGGCCTCTTGCGGCTGGCAGCAGCAGCGGAAACGGCAGCCAGCGGTAGCTGGAGAGCGGCAGCCGACGGAGCAGCAGCCAGTGCGACACCGGCGGCGGCAGCAGCTTGCGCTAGCTGCGCTGGAGACGCAAGCAGACCGCCGCCACCTCCGTGCAGCAGCGCAGCCGCCTGCAGTTGCTGAACAGAGCTGTCAGCCATAAAGCCATGCACACACTTGCTGCTGAGACACGCGTACAGTTAGGAACCAATAGTGACAAATGGCGAAAGGGGGCGTTAGCCGGTGAAAACACCACCAAGACGCGAGTGTGATAATCAAGTACGAGCTGTTAACAAAGTCGAAACTACACGGCAGAATCGTGCAACGCGTCGCGCCGCGACGTTCCCAATGAATCGCGTAGCGATGCGACGCAATTCATTGGAAATCGCGGCGCGACGCGATTGCGCGTTGCGGGACAAATACAGGAAGCGCAACGAATACTAGGGCGATACCTGTGACACAGCAGCCTGATATGGATCCTGTAGAACTGGAGAATATACCAAACCCTGATAATAGGGATATGGTAATGTGGGCATCATATTCGCGGCCGCCACCGCCTGTTGTTGCTGCTGTGTCACAGAGTAGACGAAAATCAGAAGGTGTGTTGCAAAAAATGGAAGAAAGCAGGAATAAAATAATTAAAAAGAGGTGCAGCGGTAAAAGGAGGTGCAGCGGTAAAAGTAGGAAGGATTCAGCGTTAGTTGATCTCTTTGGTGACCTTTTGGACCTTTTAGACCTTTATGGAACGCTTTGGAAGCTAACATTACATCACCACGGCCGCCCTTCTGCTTCTCACCTTAGTGGCTTCTTTTCACAATAAAACTAGAATTCATGGTTGCTAGCGTCGCCTTTAGTCGGGGCGGTGTCAGGAGGGGCGGTCTGAGCCCGCCTCCAGCTGCCCTGCTCTACCAATGGTGATCGACTAGTGATCGATGTAAAAAGAAAACAACCAGTGATGGAAACGCCGTGGGTGGGTTCATACAATCCCTTCTGAAACCGCCCCGACTGGTTGCGATATTTCGAATTGTATGTCCTCCCAGACGAGACTGGCACCAAGCAATCGATCCCGGACGGACGGTAGTTTAGTTGAACCGGGTGGGATTCGATCCAGGCGGGTGGGATTCGATCCAGGATTTCACCGTTGCATTGTGCAATAGTAAGCGGCATCAGCTGCCCTGCCCCTACATCAAATCCGCCTGACTCGATGGACATAGCGATAACACAAGGGAAAAAGCGTTATGCTGTGTTTTGAACAAAGTTGCTAAACGAAAATCGAAACCCCGTTTGTCCCAAGCATGCACGATGTCTTGACACACAACAAATATTGAGCTGGGCAAAACTGGGCAAGCCGAAAGAAGTGCTAAGGTAAATGGTGCAAAGTAGGATTTCAATGTGAGCAGAAAATGGGAGCAGTTGGCCGACGGGAGGGGGGGGGGCATTTTGCACTCCTGCCACTTCCCATCGACGTGTCGAGCCATCGAGAGAGCCTTTTAGAGCTGACAGGTTTTATCATTGTGGCTAGACGAGCTTGCTCCAGCTTCACAAGAGTTCACAAGTTTCACCAGAGTGAGACTTGTAAACCGGAACTAGTGAAGCAGCGAAAGTGCAAAATGCCCCCCCCCGTCGCTAAACAGCGCCCGAGAAAGTGATCAGTCCTCAACATTGACTTACCATAATTTGCGCAATAGGATTGACTGCAATCGGTTGTCCGGTGGCTGTCTGATTCAACTGCGCTGATATCAGATTTTTCAATGCCAAATTGTTTCTTCCATTGATAAGCAGCTGATCTTTAATATGTTGTGGTGGATGTAAATATTTGCACTTTGGATTCTCCCTGGTACATCGACCCTGAAAAAAAACGGGATTAAGGTATGATTCCTTGCATCGCAGTATTCAGTTTTTAGTTGGCTATTCAGATAGACACTCTCTGATGATAAATCGTGGGCTATAGGGTCTGAATATGAATTCGAAAATGTTAGCTGACTTACCATTGAAAAAAGGGCATAAAACCGTTGAAAATGTCCTAAGTAAGGACCCAACCATAGAAGAGTATCTGAAGAAGCGAGAACCCGGCCCGGATACCGGATAGGTTAGGAAACAGGAAAACGAGCGAGGCGGTGTCCCACATAGAATCAACGCAACACGCCACATCTGGTTATTGGGCTCTGCCGGAATATCCACTGATAGGTGAGACGACGTCTGTGGGTGGGGTTCCTTCGGCAAATCAGCCGTAAACACGCGCCGTCGAACAGCAAAATAGGGAATTTTTTTTTATGGTTTCAAGTATTTGTATTTAGCAAAGGATTCTTAGTTGGTATCGCAAGCAGTCTAGTCTAGCAGTACAATGTTAAGAGGGATGGAATGAGCCCACCGATGGCACACCGGTGGTTTCCACTATTGGCCGGTTTCTTCCTGAATCGATCGCAAGCTGCTCATCATTGGTAGAGAAAGGCAGCGGACGCGGGCTCATTCCACCACTCCTAACACCGCTTACGTTATCCCCTATAACTATCAGGTATTCGCCCGAGAATGCATTTAGTGGGCATTTCGTGGACATGAGGTCTAAACACGAATTTCAGATGCCTTTTGCTGTACTGCTGAAAAAAGCGTGTGGGAAGTTGGGAAAAGTGAGCAGAATGGCAGGTAGGATGAAGAAAGGGAGGAGAAAAACCAAAGAAGGAAACTGGGGGTGGGGTCGTAGTTTGCAAAAATGTTTCGTAGTGCCACTTGTACTTGCCCAAGCTGCTTTGGGCCTGCGCTTGTTGTGTACGGGGGGACAAGCGCGCCTCATAGGTATCGCAGAGTGTGCCGTTTGATCAATCTGCTTCGAGATATTTCCCCGCTGCTGATCCACTTCTTTTTGGAAAGAAATTGCTCCGCTTTCCTAGCCCCCCCCCCCTTCGCCGGTAAAGGTGCACTTAAATAAAGTAAATCGTAGAAAAGGTAGAGCGGTGTAGGGGAATGAATTGTTATCCACCAAGGATGCTCAGAAGAAAAATATCCAGAGCATTCCAAAAACTCTTCTTTCGATGGTCCCTCCCCCCCACTCCCTCCCCCGAAAAAAAAAGAAAACCGATTGTCCAACTTGGGGCATATTCGAGACCAATCGATTTTCAAATCGTCAAATAAGCACTTTCTAAATTGTTGTGTACTCTGTGTTTATTCCCCAGATCAATATACCAGGTGCATAAACTTTGTGATTTTTTTCGGCGTGCTAGATGGCTTTGGGCGAGAGCCCGCTATTGAATTTTTTCTCGCACTCCCTATAGGCAACAAATAAACAGCGCTATAAATGGATCAATATGTAATGTATTAAGCGCAATTAGTTTCCAGCAAATCTTTTAATGCAGATGTTTCTTGAAATCTACCTTTCGGGTTTAGGTAGTCTAAAGACTGATAAACTAGTAAACTATAGTTGCAGTACCAGTTCGGTAGTGAACCTTTGAAGATAGTCTCCGCGCTCACGCACCCCATGGGTATCCTTGATTGTACAGTAGTCCTGTCCTCTGGGATTATCCCACTTTTACAGCTCATAGTAGGTGAGAGGCGCTGCGGCCCTCATAACTGGCAGTTCTGACGCCTCCCTAGTTGCCCCGCCCACCCGGGCTTAAAGGCTATTTTCTGTCACACGTACGGTTTGACATAGTTTTTTTTTCGTTTTTCTTTTCACTGTAGATGGTATTAGCAATGGGTAACGTGAAGAAACGATCAGTGAGGCAGAGGTGGCAGGATATGATTTGCTGGCATAAAACGGGCGGTCCGAGAACTCGTCCAGAAAGGTACTAGGCCCCCATTTGGGTGTTCACTATAATTTTTTTCTCACCTTTTTCTTTCCTGCAGAAAACAGCGGCTACATTTTTGTAACTGGACGCCAATATCCGCATACGACCCCCGGTTTAGTCTCAAAACGAAAGCACTCTGGAAAACCGGTGTTCGTAGACTAGGCTAGCACTTACGCAATACGGCCAATGTTCTGAGTTCAGTGTGAGTCAAGTTTTTTGTGCCATCTTCAGTAAACCCCGTTGAGATACGAATCAGCTGGGATGTGACAGTGCTAATCGTTGGCATGATGGATCTCTATTGGCTTGTTGGCTATATCTTTTCATCGATGCGTCGCTCTCTTCCTTCCATAACGCCTGTCTAACTGCCCATCCCATCGCAACCCGTCTCAACCCAACATTCGGCTCTGCCATCCGCCCCACCCGTCCTCCCATCCCGTTTCACAACTTGCACATGACAGCCACGCATAATAGCCGAAGCATTGTTGAAACTGGTGTGTAACACCTCAGTAAAAAAAGGTGGGAACAATCGGGAAGAATTCTAGTCATACCAGTACGTCGTTCGGTTTCTTCCAGGAGTCTTACTTGCAAAAGAGAACTTAGTAGTTGCACGAACAACTACTAATGAACAAAGGGGTGGTAAAGCGGAAGACTGAGGCAGACTACATCTGCCAGTCTTCTTGTCTATCAAGGAAATTGGCGTATGGCAAGTCAGCAATGTGTGAGACACTTCAAAAGAGCAGCAAAATCATTTGAGTTGCAGCTCAGAGCGTCTCAGGATAGGAACGGTTCCGACGTTCGAGACTTTAGCATTGGAGAATGGGCACACCACCCCGAATTTTCACTGGTCCATTTTTTCATTTCTAATGATTTTTTCTGGGATTTCCTATCCTACACACATTGCCCATGTCAGGCCTGGAACACCCGATAGCATTAAATTAGTGAGTAACCTTGATGCAGCGAAATTAGTCTGACCCTGATTATCTATGCGGTTGCCCCCACCAATCACCCACGACCAGTACCAACTTTACAAGGAGAGAATTTGTTTAAAGTGAGGATAACTAGCTACTACATAGTTGCAGTATGAGTTACTTTCATGACCTTCGAACTGTCTTTTCAATCAGGTGAACGCTTTCCAATCCCAAATCTTCTATAAAGCCAGAGTGCTGCTGAAACGGGGGCCCACAAGCGGGACCACCAACGTCGGCAGAGAAAATGAACCAAACGAAATTATCTCCTCGGTAGATGAGACTCGACCGTCTACCTTCAAGGCTCTATTGGTGCCAGCTACTAGGACTTTAAAACCTGCCCATCCCGTCCAGCCCTGCGCTCTCTCTCTCATTCCCATAAACCGCCCACACACAATTTTCAGAGTACAGTTTCTTAACTTTTCTTACGGAATAGGAACAGTAATACTGGAATTGTCTGTGTTTGATGACACTTCAGGAAGAATATCTGTCCCCAAAGGTATACGGTAATTGTTTCGAAAGCGCGTCACCAATAGTCTGCCTAGACCAATGCGGGTCAGTAATCCCAGCCAATCTGTTGCTTCCATTGCCTTCAACTGCCTAAACTGGTTTTTGATGGCCTTTTCGGTGGCGTCCAGCTCTGCCTTCTTTTCTCTAGGGCTCTATCCATTTCTGTTGACTCGTACGACCACCCTTCGATGAACGTGGACCACTCCCCAACTCGAACCGGTTACCCATCGCGCGGGGCCGTCAAATGCAACCATTTTCATGGGAATCGATAGCCGTAGTTGGAATATCGATCGTTTTCCGAAAGAAATCATGCTCTGATTTCAACGCCGTCAACGTTTTCCATCACACGGCTATTCACTTCATCATTTCGGGCGATTTTCACACTTTCCAGTTACACTCGTTTTTCATATGATAATGCCCGTCGCCGATCCGATCCACAACTGTGACCGAAACAAGAAAGAATCATCGGCAAGTGAAATTAAGCCCGACGTCGGAGGTGATTAAAGCAGATTTGAACGCTGTAAATCTCCCGGATACAGTAAGTTACTATGCAAGAGATTTTACCCTGATCTGAAGAAGAAGAATGGGGGCTCCCATGCCATCAACGTGAGATTCTAAATGACGCCATCACATTCAGAGCTCTCGGGGGTTTGGAGGACGGACGGACGACGACGAGTCTTTTCACTGGCCGTGTTGTCTCCATTTGCAACTCCCGGGGGATCATTGCAGCCAGATGGCTTCCTCGTCTTCTCTATCGATAAATCCCAGCAGTTTAAGGCCCACTCATCCTCAAACATCATCAACATTATCAAATATTTCCCCAAGTGCTATCGTTCATGAAATGGCAGGGATTTTACACAAGTAATTGAACTCCAAACGACACATCACAACATCGCCAGTCTTACCGTACTCTTGGTCCAGAAAAAAACGGCACACTCTGGAGAACAGAATGTGATGGGTTCGCACTAATTTAGAGTAGTCTGTTCGCAATTGTCCGCTGCTCTCCCTCACCCCAGTCAGAGTCGGCCCCTCTCTCACCCCGTGGTGGTTCTATCGGCGCTCTTTGTGAAAATGAGCCGGGGGCCCGCTTGGCATTTCGATTTAAAACGAAGGGCGCAAGGCCAGCTGGCAACAGCCATCAATACGACATTAAACAATGCAAAGAATAAAGGATCGCATGCTGGGCCGCAATATCTCCCCCCAGCCGTCCTCCTCTCTGTCTATCCTCTCACATCTTTTCTATTCCTTCTACTTCTCATCATCATTTCCTCTCGATCCCCCATCCATCCATCCACTACTACTACATACACAGTAGCCAGCCAGCTCGTTGGCCAGTCTCGTTGCCGCTTTGCGCATGCGATTCTTTCATAAGAAAATGCCCGATGCTGTGCCGGATTTACATAAATGACATACACATAGCATCAGCGATTGTGGTGGAAGCAATCGGGGGGATGGTTGCGAAAAACGTCGATGGAAGGAAGGGGTTACTCGATTAAATTAAGCATGCAACTGAGTAGATTGCCGGGAATAGCGTCACAATCCCCTTATGGTGAGGTTTTTTTATTCACCGTTTCATCCCTTTCAATTTGACTGTTTTAGTGGATTTGTTGGTGTCTGTGGAAATGAAACGAATCGATTCGTTTTGATAATTGGGATTCAGAAGAAGCGTGCGGCAGCGGTGCAACTCTGCTTGAACGTTGTCGGTGTACGACGACCGGTTGAGAATAACTATTGGCAGAGAAAATAGCGAAAGATAAAATGAAAAAAAGAAAAATAAAAATGAAAGAGGATTGTTTGCACCTTTATGCTATCATAACACGCTGTGACACGTCCTTGTTGTACATCGACATGTGGAGGCGGATGAGCGAATTTGCACTCCAAATCGCTTCTGGCGCATTGTCCACGTTGAAATTCGCGACATACTTCAACCTAAAAAGTAGATCATGAAGACATATCTGATCAAGGCCAAACACGACATTCACCAATGAAACCATCGTTTTTGGATGGTATCAGATGCGGTTGTGTGTGTCGTCAGAAACCAGTTTCTCTCCCAAAGGCATAGGTGAGGTTTAGGGTGGTGATAGTGAAACGCAAAGAGAAGATATGTGTGTGTGAGAATTTCAACCCGTGCACATATCAATTATGAAAGTGGAACGAATTGTGTACGAAATATAGGTCTCGGGACAAGATAATGGTAGATCACAGAAATTCCTCATTCACACATACACTCACATGCACGCGACGCACGTATATACGCACGCCTCAATTCTAGCTAATGGAGCCAAATCGTAACGAAATTC